CAAATGAAAATTTATTTTGTGTTGGACTACTAGTAACACAATATTTTATTTGTAATGGATTTGTAAAAATATCCAAAGGTATTCTAAATACACATATACAACATATAATATTTAATATGTCATTAAATACAAATGACTTACTATTTTGTGTCAAGATTTATTATGACAGGTTTACCATGTATATGATGGTGACATGCTGCCAAGGTTTCACAACTATAACATTTGAAAATAGTAGTAGGATTCAAACAAGATTTTTTGAAAAAATAACATTTCGTGAAAGAAAATGAATTGTTGATCATAATTCATCAATATTACATTGAACCTCCTCCATAAGCGCACCCTCTATAAATGCACACCCTCCATAAATGCACGCTATGTCCCATTCCCAAACTCAGGACTTAAGAGATAAATGCATCTCCATAAATACACCGCACAGTCTTCCCCCATTCATCATATCTAAATGCTAAATGCACGTCCATGACTTTCACATGATTTATTTGCTAAATAAATTCATGTTACATTAATTAATTATTCAAACATTACAACTCTCAAAATTTAGAATTTTATACAGATGGATCCTTAAATAAAATCAACACTAAAAAAGTAAAAATGGGTATTGGTTGGATACAAACAAATCAAGAAAATGAACAATTAACCTTCTCAGCATCAGTTGAAAACTGGCCTTCTTCAACAAAAACAGAGGTTTTAGCTATACTATCTGCATTACTTGTATCTCCACCTGAGAGTAATATTACTATTTTCAGTGACAGTGAAACTACTATAAAATTTTTTGATAGATTAATAATAAAAAATGAATATATAAGTACAAGAAGATTGGTGAAAGAAAATAATTATTTATTATGGGGCATAATACAAGATACAGTAACTGAACTAAAACAAAAAATACAAATAAAAAAAGTGAAAGCACACAATGGTATTTTTTTTAATGAAAAATCAGACTTTCTAGCAAAATTAGGTTTGGACTCTGATCTGTTGGAAATCAAATATGATCAATTACCAAATTTTAAGTGTCAACCATCTTTCAATAACATAAGAATTGAAATATCATTAAGGCTCTTTTTAAAAAATTGCACAGAAGCAAAAAGCTTTTTAATTTGGAAACAAAAAAATAGAAATATTAAATATGACAAATCGGAACAAACTTTAATTAACTGGCCAATGACTTGGATAATACTAAATTCTAATGGTGAAGAAAACACTAAAACATCATTTAATGCTAGTAATAAAAAATCTTTCAAAGTTAAAAAGTTAATAGAAGAATTACCAACTATTGAAAGCCTTAAATTACGAAGTCCAGATTTATATGATAATAACTGGAAGTGTTGCCTTTGCAACAAAGACAATGAAGATTTTTCACACATTTGGTTATGTGAAAAACAAAGAGAAACAATTAAC